GTTATTAGACCTCCGTTAACCTCACTCACACGACGAAACAACGAAAAGCGTTGTATCACGTCAGTTTTGTGTGAGGCCGTGGTATCATTCCGGTCGAGCCGGCCCATTCGTGCGGAAGCATAGCTCTCCCACACTTGTCTACGAGTTTATTTCGATGTTTTTTTTAGTTTTATTCAGTTTTAAAACATTGATACGTAAAAGTATTACCTTATAATGTGTCCTATTCATTGATTAATAACTACTTGCTGTTTACAAACTTGATTGATTAATTTACTGTTTACCGTTACTACATATTTTTCTATTTGCCTATGAGTACGATAGAACAATAGTTAGGTTGTTAAGTAGGTACCTATAATATGTACCTATGTACATATTTGTTGATTGCATTAAATAAACGTTGCGTGCACATATACCTACCTAGTTATTATGCTGATTTTGTGCAGTTTAGTTCAAACATATTGCGATATAAATATGTAAGTAGGTACTTATGTACTTGTGTCGTTGTGGTTTGTTTATGTTAGGTACGAGTTTAGGTTTTGTAATTATACCTATTTGTATACTAAGTTAAGCATTTGCTAAGCCTAACAGTAATTTATACATTTAACACGACAAGCTATTTAACTTTAATTACAACATAGGTATCTAACTAAGTAGTTCACAATGATTTCTAATTTATAATATTACCATTATTCCACGTAATATTGAGGATTGTTCATGTCAAATATTTCATTTTGTTTACCCGTACTTTCCTGGTTAAGTAGCTGTGACTTTACGGCTACGACTGATAGCTAGGTACGACGGATTTTTTATTAATGAACATGAACAATAATTATTTAGATACCAGTGACGATGAAAGAAAACATTGTTAGGAAATCTGGGGTTACAGTTTATTGCTAACGCGCATTAAGAAAGCGTGGTAATTAATGCTCAAACCGTATGAGAAGAGACCTTCGTCCAGCATTTATAGGCTGATATCCGATGTGTGACGTGAATAATAATAAAAAATTATCTTTGGACAATCAAAACACAACTTTAAAACTAATAAATCAAATCAGATATTAATTTAACAACTGAATATATTAGTACGTGATTCATTGCTTCTTGTTATCGAACTGTTATGGAAAAGTTCTGCCAAAGAAAGCAAGCGTGCTTTGTTTTATCAATGCTGTGGTAAATTTCCTTAACGTTTGTGCCTAACTGAGAATGTTTACACAAACGTTTAAAACCTGTAGGTAACTGACACTGGATTGAAAATTTGCTTTGTGAAAACACTAGTATTATTGTTAGTGATACCATGAGATAGTACTACTCACATAGAAGCGTTTTGTTTGACTTCCAAGTCTTCTGATTAAGAGAACTGTTTATCGAATTCGTCAAAATTATATCAGTTAGTTAGGTAGTCTAAACGAATATATTTTCTAACACATGCATAGGTATGCATATCTTTGTTAGGTGTACGTATGTAAAATACTCGTAAATCTAGGTTCAAGGCTTTAAAACGGTCATAAAGACGTAAAGCTAATTAATTGAATGGAATAACAATTGCAAATTACAATTGCAAACACGCAAGAATTTCGTAATCAACAGAATTATGACACAATCCCGTAATACAGCATTTTTTCTTTTTTTCTAGATGAACCAGGCTACACATTTCCTGGATGGGTCAAACATTTACGGCGCAAACAGTTACGATGCAGCAGCCCTACGTGAGAGAACCGGAGGACTTCTAAAGACCGCTCAAATTGAAGACGAAGAACATCTGCCATTAGTTGCCAACCCTACTGAGCAGTGCCTTGTGGACAGCAAAACTGGAACTTGCTTTAACACCGGTAAGTTTGAAAATAGAATAAAATAAAAGGAGGTTCTAGAACTGGTTGGGTTACTTTTTATTGGAATAGCTGATGCAGTTGGTTGGTTATATAGTAATATAGGGACGATGCCCTAAAGATAAAAATAGCTGACTATTTTATTACATAGTAACTTATATAGACTGCTTCGTTGGCCGGGCAAGGGAATACGTTCTAAGTAGTAGCACAGAATCTGGAATTGTGCCCGATTTATGGCAATAGGATCACCCTCTAGTACATGGGACTCATAACATAAAAATGTAACAATTTCACAGTTTCATTAAGTGCCGTAATGTGCACCTCTGTTTACCCCTTCGGGCATAAAAGGCGTGCTGTTACGTTATGTAATATAAGTATTAATGCATCGAAACAGCTTTAAAATGAAGACGTAGACGAAACTAAAATTAGCGTCATTATGATTATTATGCCCCATTTAGGGAATTACTTTTAAAATGATTGTCTCAAATACCAAAACCGTCATTTTATTGACATCGTTGGAATAACCAAATTGATTTTGGACTTTACGCGTTTAACTTTGGAATGCAAATTGAAGAAACAACACTCAATTTACGTCATAAGTTAATGCATTTCGCAAATTATACATAACATATTAAAAGGATCTTAGGTACTAAGTGAAACTAATTTCCAAATAAACACGAGAACTATAGGTATTTGTCTATTGTTTACAAAGTTAAACGTGCTATGTGAGAGTACGATAATTTTGATAACAATAAGAGATAGCGAGATTATGTTATTAAGATGATGTTTCCTTTAATGGTTGTACCTATCATTATTAAGATAAGATAAAATGAACTGTAGTTAATTCTATCATTCTGTCTTCGAATAGACACTAGTGAAATGCTACTTTTTGCTATGAAACAACATATCGACAGATTGTTGTGGTACATATTTTTGTTTCCCTTAGCTTTAAATATACATATATAACCCCATGCCTGTCTCCAATGGGGGTAGGCAGAGGCTATGGAATGCCAATTGCTTTATAAAGATCTAAAGAAAAAGTAGTGACATAGACAAAAAATGTTTCTCTATTCTGAAGCGCGATAAAAACCTACATAGTCCAAGTGCGTCAAATAGTACTAATTCTAATTAATAGGTTCATTAGCATTATCTTATATAATTACATCTTTAAACAGCTGTAACCCAGTTTCATAATCGATTTGTCACTCTACATTGGAGGGCAAATTGCCCACATTTAGAATCCAAGACGTCACATTAGGTACATGAATAACTCTTGTTAGCATACTGGTGACTGATTTCAGTATCATCGACCTTTGCTGAATTAAAATAGACTATCTCTATTTCAGTGTTGGCTTTCGTTATAATTTGAAGTCATGAATCAGAAAGATTTCACTTATGAAAAGTCTATTTCGAATTATTTAACATGTGTTACTGTTTGACGAGGTAACTCAACTAATTTCAAACTAGGCCAGGGGTCCATAAAGTCATGAGTAGCATATAAAATACCCTTTATCCGGGTTTACCACATTAGAGTATTTTTCTAAATATTTTCTTTTACCAACAGGTGATGCCCGTGCCAACACCCATCCATGGCTAGCGAGTATGTACTCCGTTTGGGTGAGAGAACATAATCGCATCGCTCGTAGTCTGGCTACTCTGAATCCTGGCTGGAACTCCGACCGTCTGTACCATGAAGCAAGAAGGATTGTTATAGCTGAACTCCAACACATCACCTACAAGACCTGGTTGCCTGCACTTACCGGTAAGTTTAGAAGCAATTTTGTAAGATTACATAAATTTTCAAAAATAGGATATTATTATAATCTTGCTTCATTATCTTGAATTGTGTTTACTAAACAATAACTAAAAAACAAAAGATGACATCGTTTATGCTATAAAAATACAAAAGAATAGAACTGCAAAAATACAAATAAAAAATATCGGGATCGTACCAAAAACAACCAGTCTTCCTTAACTGTTAGTAACGTTGAACTTTTTATGTTATAGGAAAATCCTTCGATGAGTTATATGAGAGTTATGACCCAGGATACGTCTCAGAGATTGACCCCACTATTACAAACTCTTTCGCCACCGCCGCCTTCCACTTCGTCAACAGCATTCTTGACCAGGACATTGAACTCGTTGACAAAGACAACAGTGTGACGCCTCACCGTCTTCTGAACAACTACTTCAAGCCAGAGCTGGTGTCAAAGAAGGGAGGATTGGAGAAGATCTTAAGAGGAATGATTAGCCAGAAGAGTCAGGGATTGGACTTCAACTATGATGATGACGTAAGTGTTTTTATGATTTTTTATGAGGGATGATTGAATGAAAAGATGAAGCTAATAGATTTGGACAGGGAGACAGATATAAAATACCTATGGAATAGTTTCGATGGTGATGTCAGTCATATGACCTTAATATTGCAATGACATTGAATTTGTCTTGTTGATATTCTAAGTAAAGAAGTAAGGTTATTTAATTTAGCAAACACAAGGTCGTTTATAGTATCTTCTATAGGTGAGGTCAAATAAAATACCAAAATGGCATTAACATTGGAGGTAATGACTAGAAACCTTTACTTGTAGCTTGAAGTAATTATCAACAAAGTCAGTGTTTAGTAAGACGAATGTTGTGACGCAAAATCACTCTCAACTGGAGAGTAGGCATTAAATCTTTACATATTTATGCTAATGAAGCGCGAAAATATTTACTTTACATATCTGCAGCAGCAACGACACCTTCATATCAGCATGTTTACAAAGTTCTTAAGTTAATAATGAATGCGTATTTACTTAGGTACCTTTGACAAAACATAAATCTGAGAGGATTGAAGATAAAGGAATTCTCTCTGTGCATGAACTTACTGAAAATTGCTGAACCGATTTCATTAAGACAACGTAGATAGATAAAACGTCTCTTTAAAATAGCTAAGCAAAAGTGCTTATGGTATAAACAAATAAAAAGCCGGCAAAATGAAATAAACAGTGATGTAAAAACCATAAAAATCGATTCAATGTTTGCAGTTAAGCATTTGTAACGACTTCCGAGTAGAGCATTGATTCTCGATAACAAAAACAAATCGATAAAGAATAATTCTTCACGATTTTTATTTCAATATTTTGTTCATGTGTTGAACAATGGTCTTATAATTTGAATGTGACTTTGAATGTATTTACCTTATGCATAAATGTACTTATACAATGAGACATCAACGAAGACAAATTATCTGTATTGTGTGATATGACTACGTGTGTATTAAGGAGTAGACTTTTTCATTATGAACTTGTACAGTGTTTTCTTAGACTCTCTCATTTTGAATTCTAAAATGCCTGGTCTTTAAACAGAATTATACATACATAAAAATATTTTTTTTATTAAACGGTTTGGTTTAGTCATAGTCTATATAAGATTTTTATTGTCTAACCACAAAACCCGTCAGAAAATAAATGAGATACCCTTTTATTTATTGTTTATTGAGTACTTACTTGTCTCACTTTGAAAATGACAAACGAAATGCTACTGAATCAATTTTTATTACTTACCTGCATACTAAGTAGAGTAGTCCGACAAATAAGTAGTCTGGCGGACTGAACACCGTACCTGTTGCACCTTTACCAGATAAAATAGGGTAGACGACTAATTTTTATTTTAATGTCCGTCTGGTAGATTATTTAAAAACATTAGACACGTATTTTTTATTTTCTTACGGAAACGAATAGTTTCGAAGATATATTGATTTGAAATGTCGCGTGACGTCACTTCTCAGTA